CGTCGCACACCCATGCAAGGCTTGGTTGGCCTAGGCGGGCATCGATCCGGGATTCGAACCCCTGACCGTGCGTGTGATATAATGCGCCACTTGCCACTACACCATCTCCGCCTGGGCCATCAGTATAGATGCAATAAATCTTCCTTCATCCCATTACACCATTCTACGAGTTGAAGATAGATCCATGATCCTTTTGATGCGGTAAGAAACAAAGGCATAGTCAGTAGTCAACGCAAAACGCATTCGAACGTGTACGAGCCGTCAGATGAACATCACACAACATTATGATTCTTTGCAAAAATGAGACGATATAATACAAGATCTCTTTACAAAGAGATTTTAAAATTGTTTGCTTTTCAAGTGGAAGACCGACAACACATGTCGATTACAATTAAATTCAAGTTTTCAGCCTTGGAATTGTCAGTTAATGGTTGTGAATGGGTAACGGGATGAAGAAAAAAGTATCATTCCAATGAAGACCCGATAAACACAGAACATCCTTGATGGATTGAGAAATATTCCGATTACTTTTAAGTAGCAAAAAGGCAAACAAACATCATAATAAACATTTTATCACCACAGTCAATAGAATTTTCAAAAAACACCGAATTTTTAAACAATGTATAAGGCAAGACATCTATCAACGATCAACTGCGCTTCTCCTCTTCTTTATGACAACAACTTGACCATGTGGAGCGCCATTGAAGATAAGTAACGTCATCCTTACTGTAGCAGTCTTACAAATAGAAGATCACTGATGTCGTGACACCGTTGCAATACGATGACGTGGTGGTTCCTCTGAGATCGAATGAATGAGTAAAAAAGAAGTAGTTGCCCGGGAACAAAACCAAAGTAGTAGCTTACGACTCGTCGATGGCATTTGTGATAAATCCTGCATCACGTACATCTCACCCGTGGGTGCTGCTGGTGCTGCTGGAGTGATTCGAAGAACTTTTTGCCGTTCCTGCATAAATGTTCGTTGGTGAATTAAGTGATACGCAACAAAATCGAAACCATAACATTTAGAAAAAAGTTTGCCTAATTGAAGTACAATTTTAGGGTTAGACAAGTTTCTCCAAAGTAGAGTAATCTGTAGTCCTTGGCCCATATCCTTGGATTAACTTACTTCTTCAATAAGGCGGTCAGTCTTCACTTTTACAATCACAGCTCCTCCAGTATACAACAGAAATATCCCGATAATAGTAGACATTACTATTATCACTACCATGGACAGAGTGTTGAGTTCTGAAGACAATGAGTTCTTGTGAAGCGTCGTTTGTGATTTTCATCATAATATAATGAACAGATCAGCCTGGTTCTAATACTTAATGCTATCGTGCGTTTGCAAGTGACTTATGATTGGCTATCGCCAGTAATCCACCAATCACAGGCGTTGCTTCCACGCATTCCATTTTGTATTACGTGATGTCCAATCAGGATACAAAGAGAGAAGAAGTTGTGAGGGTGGAAAAGGATTAATTTGTTGTGGTATGATTCGTGCAAGTAAACGAATGTCAGAGGTATGAATTTTTTAATTTAGGTTTTACTCCATAACCTCTCAATGTGCAGAATAGCGCAATTTTTTGGATTTTTAGACATATTGTGAATAACACTGCCCCAACCATTCATTTGTGCACATAATTTTACGAAACTTTTTCTTCTGTCCAACGCACTCCACAATATATCTCAAAAAATCTGGATTAAAACTGGAAACTCACGGCGAAGTACTATTAATTCAATAATATCGCGATCAGTGATGGGTTGAACTGCCAGTTCTAAACCTTGAATTGACTGCAGGTCGAATTCCTCGTATTTAGAACATTCCTTAAATTCCATGTAAAAAACCTGGATATCCAGTAGGCCTTACAAAAAAGAGCAAAAAACGTGCTCGTACCATCATCATAATTGCAATTTCTTCAGCTGGCAATGGATC